TAGATAGATGGATGCAAAATGGATGGATGGATAAAGTGCAGATAACATATTTTAAAACCTAATAAGGCTGTAATAGAAGAGGACGCATAGGACCAGCAGGTGGTGTGGAGGTTAAGGTGCCGGATTCCACAGGACCAACTGCACAGTTCGAGTCCTCCAACTGCTTGAGTATCACACCAGGCACACGTGTGCATGCATGCCCAGAAACCAGAGAAGAGACTGGAAGAGGCCCAGAATCCCAAGAGGAGACTGGAAGTGGAGGGAATGTGGCATGATCATGCCCCTGGGAAGTAATTTCTCACTTTACCTTTCTTTCTCTTTCTGTCTTTCTCTGGTGAGCACACACATCTTACAGCAAAAACTTAAAAAACAAAAAAACAAAAAAAAAAGACACATGGGCAGCACATACTATCCACATCCTTAACAGAAGCCAGGGAAAACTAATGGAAGAACAATTTTTAACCATCCCTCTATCTCCTAGCATATGTGCTATTGCTGCTCACAGAGCCTGAACTCTCAGCAGAGTCCTTCACAAAGGAGAGTCTTGATGTGAGAGGAGAGGAGTGTCACAGAAAAAGAGACTCTGTCTTATACTTTCTCTTCTGGCCACTGGAGTATCAGTTGGATAGTTTATGGTAACTGAGTATAGCTCAGTTCATACTTGCTGGTTCTGACCAATCGCATCATAAAATGTTGTCACTACTACACAGTTTCCACAACAATACTCTGTCTACTTATGTTAAGATTAGCACCTACAAGTCCAAAATAGCACATGACGCAACTTTCTATTTACTGAAGGGCACATGGGATGTGTTAACGACACCCTCACTAGGTCCTTGGACACTGAAGACAAACCCAACAGCCAAGTGCTAAAAAGAGTAGGCAGCTCTGATATTTATCTGCTGATAACTGCATGGGGGTGCACTCATAAGGGAATTCCAGAACCTTCTTTTGATAAAACCACAAAGCCACCAGATCTACTGCCAGAACCCAAAATAGCTTGGTCTAATCAGGAAAGCATTTGTCTGGGAGTTGAAAGGTGTAGGTCCCTTGTTTTACTAGCTGGCTTAGTGTCCTTGGATATGCCATTAGCCTCTTAGCCTCTCTGAATGCCTCTGCCCTCTCTACACTGGGAAGATGGAATGGCATTCCCTTATCACAGAGTGAGTAGAGTCCCTAAAGAGAGGATGGCCATGAAAGTTCTTGGTGAACACCAGTCACCAACCCTAGAAGAGGAGGGGTCATGATAAGAAAGCAGATGTCCTGGAAATGGTCATTGGTTGAACTAGTAGCAGAAATAAAACCCTTCAACACTCAGGCCTTTGATGGTCTGGAGTTAGCCCTTTGGTGAGGCAATGACTCTCTTCTTTCTATTGCCCTCTAACTCGCTGTAAAATAGTCAGCCATGGTCTCTCCTTACCTGCCTGTCTCTTTCCTCCATGATCAATAATTGCCTCATTCATGAGTAACACAGGGATAGGTTCAGTAGCAGCCAGAAATCTGAATGGCTATTCTTAGTGTATGGAAGGTTACCCACACCATAGGAAAATAAAAAAATAGTCATTCTTTTCCTCCTTAGGACTTGAAAATATAGTAGAATTAAATAATATTTACTGAGCACTGACTATGTGCCAGTCTGGGTTAGTGCTTTATTTACATTACTTATTTCACTTACTACTCATAAAAACTCAGTGAACGAGCATAATTATCCCCATTCTACAGGTGAAGAGATAGGTGCTCAGAGAGTCTAAGATGTGTCAAGCTCCCAGAACTACTATAAACTGACCCAAGACTTGAACCCCCACAAAAACCCATGCTTGTGCATGTCGTGTTATCTTGTCTCAAAAATAATCATTGCGTCCACAGAAAGAAAATGAGAAATGAGAGTTGGGAGCATGTATTTAATCAAAAATTAAAAGCACATAGGTCTTGGACAAATATGCAAGAAAGCTCAAGACTTGTTGTTGGACCTGAACACTACCTGGTCAACAAGAAAAAGAGACCTCAAGTGAAATGAAAAGTGTGAAATAATTAGCAGCTAATGAAAAACAGGATTATAGCCTTCAGAAGACAAATATTAACAGTTTTGGAGCACCAAAGAGATCTATTATCTGAAGTCAGAATTAGTTTCATATATTCACCCACACACATATATATATCTACATATACATGTACATATAAAGTTAATATTATTATAATATTACTTACAGTTCTTTTAAAGAGACCCTTGGACAGAGCAATTGAACATAATTCAATCACCCTCAAGATCTAGCCATCTTGTCTCCCAATATAACTCTCTGAAAGAACCAGTAAAACCAAACACATATTTTTAAGTTCTTTCACTGAATTTAGTAGGTTAACTAGTTTATGCAGAAGATGATTTTAATGGTTTTTATCTTAATGGTTTCTAGCAAAACTTTTTTTAAGGTTTTTCCTTGGGGCATGTGTGCTCACTGAAGAGAGAAAGAGACAGAGAGAGAGAGAGAGAGAAAATGAGAAACCAACCTCCAGGGGAATGACTACACTGCAGTCCCTTCTCCTTCATTCTCTTTTGAGGATTTTGGGTCCATGTGCACACATGACTGGCATAATTTTCAAGTCACCAGATCTAGTACTTGAACCACAGAGTGGGATCCAGAGCCTTAGCCTCCATGCCACCTTCTGGTCCCACAATACTATTTTTACATGTTAAAATGAAAACATTATAAAATAGTTTGAATTTTTTTTTTTTTTTGGAGAGGTTTTCGCTATAGGGTGTGTGCACTCGCCAGAAAGACAGAGAGAGACAGAGAGACAGAAAGGGAGAAATCACCCCTGGGGGGATGGCCACGCTGCAATCCCTTCTCCTCCATTCTCCTCTTGGGATCATGGGCACGCATGGACACGTGCCTGGCATGAGTTTAAGCCGCCGGGTCTGGGACTTGAACCACAGTCGACTACATGGGAGTCCAGCGACATAGCCATTACGCTAACTGCTGGTCCCAAAATAGTTTGGAATTTATAAGCGTTCTTCTTGCTCTTTCCAGTTTTGGCACTTTTACATGACACCCTTTTATTATTTAAAGTCAAGGATTTTAGTATCTGTTTTACCTGACTTATAATAGTATTTTTACCCATTCGTGGCCAAACGTATATCACAATATCTATTTCAAGGGATTATCATGAAGACAAAATTAAGTAAACTAGTTGTTGTAAATTTTTGGCTTATAGAAGGCACTCAAGCTTTTGAATTCATGGTCTTTATTTTGTGACTTTCAGTGTGATGTAGATGTAAAAGAGATCTTTGGAATCAGTGAGGCCTGGATCCAAACCTCTACTCTACTTCCTACCAGCTGTGTGTCCTTGGGCAAATGTCCTAGTCTCTCTGACCCTCCCTTTCTTCTCCTATAAAGGAAACACTATTTCTGCTTTGCAAGAATGCTGTAAGGTTTACAAATAGCATATGCCAAGGGTCTGGCATATGGTAGGTACAAATAAATGACTGCTTTGTTTATCCTTAGATAAAATGACTTCTGTCTTATGAAATAGACCTAATGATGAGGTTGTATAAAAATGCTCTCTTTTGTAAAAAATTATTTACTTCTTTCATGAACCAGAGAAACAGAGACACAGAGAGAGCTTCCCAACAGGGTCTTGGCACCGCAATCCAATCCCAGCTTCAGCCAGTCCCAGATCATGGGCACCCAGCACACTCAAGGTGTCTGGTCTTGAACCCAGAAGCATTCCACATGGGTCAGCCTCACAGAGTGTGGCTCACGAGCTGCTGCTCCCCTCCTGCCCACCCCAGTAATTTTTTATTTTTTATGTTTTCTTGAGTGACTGTGATTTCAAACACACACAAATTGCCCCTGTGATCATTTTTAAGCCACCTTGGGTATAACTGGAATGTTTAAAGTTCTAATCTGAAGCCAATGTAAACAAATGGACCTATCAGCTACACAGCACTGACCAACCCATCCACAGAAGCACCCCTGGCCTGTTGCAGTCCAGCTTTACCCTGAGGCCTTGGAAAGGTTACATGTAGTAGGCCTGAGATTACAGGCCCAAAGGAGGAGGTCGGGCTACGGGCAATATACTGGGCAGGCTGACACACTGCAAGCCTTGTTCCCTGTCCCTTACAAAGCACCTCTTTAGGAGGAAAACAAGATGTTCTTTGTAAATAAAAGTTCATGCATTTGAGTAATGAAGTCATTTTCCAGCGCGGCAGTGAAAGATATTCTTCTCCTGAGCACTCTGGGTGAGGACTGTGGCGAGGAAGCGAGTGGCCAGTCGGTCTCCAGAGGAGATCATAGCACAGAAAGCGCAATGGTCTATCTCTAGAAAGGGAAATAGTGCTCAGAAAGTGGGCGCCTCTGCCTTTTGAGATGATCTACCTCTGGCTCCCGCCCCCGGAATCCCTTTCCCGCCCACTTTCCTGCAGAGTAGCGGGAGGCACATAAAATATCTTTATAAATAGAGATAAGACTTCCGGCACCTTGATTAAAATAAGTAAGAACTGTGAAGAAGTCATAGCAAAAGCTGAAAATTCATTAAGAGCCCTTGGAGGGGCTCCAAACTGAGAAGGAAGAGGAGGCCTCTAGAAAAAACTCAAACTCGGTGTCTGAAAAGCCGACTTGGAGTGGGAGGGCCTGGGAGTGGAAGGTAAAAAGGGAGTGGGGAGAAGGAGTGCTGGAAGGCAGCCAGGACAGCGCAGTCCTCAGGCCCGACCCGCCGTGCGGAGGTGGCCAGGCGCTGGCGGGCTCCCCCCAGTCGGGTCCCCTTTTGATGCGCGGCTGTAAACTGCATCCCATCCGTAGGTTCGGGAGCCACAGCCTCTGGGGAGAGTGAGACACGAGAAGGAGGGAGGAGGAGAAAGAAAAAGAGAGAGAGGGAGGGAGGGAGTGGGGGACTGGGACTCTCGCTTACTCTCTCACTCTCCCTTTTTTCCCTCCTAAGTTGCTGGCTGGGCTGGCGTTCCCACATCTGGATACTGCGATACTGCAGACCGAGAGGTCACGTAAGCAAGGCACCGCCTCACCACCCCGGGGACCGACGGAGACCAGCGGTTCCCGAGCTCCTGGAGAGCCAGGTTGGAAGTCCGCGGAGAGATGACCCTGGGCGCAGCGTGGAGCGCAGTCCTGCCTCTGTGGCTCCTCTGGGGCGCTGCCTGCTCCAGCGCGGCATCCGGGGACGGCAACGCTTTTCCTTTTGACATTGAGGGGAGCTCAGCTGTCGGCAGGCAAGACCCGCCTGAGATGAGCGAGCCCCGCGTGGCTCCGGGCCCCCTCCCGCCTGTCGCTGAGGTACCGTGTCCCTGTCATTGTCACCCTGTTGGGGCACCTGCGCCCCGCGGGGTGTGCCACATTGCCCCCCCCCCCTCTCTCCCCCTCTCTTTCTCCCCTTACTGTCTTGAGAGTTTCACCTGGAGGCCAGATCAGAAACTTGAAATAAAGAGTCACGTCTTTAAGTTGGACTCGGATGTTGAGAGTTGAAAGTGGAGGCTTTGGAACGTGTCTGTTCACACCGGGAAAAGTGCTTGTGTCCTCTGTGCTCTGAGTCGGCCTACTAGACTCTCACCTGGGAATGCCCAAGCACATCAGGGACTTTCTGCTCCTTGTATATCTGGCAGGAGTCATTTTGTCAAGCTAAGGCACTTAATGCATGTACCCATCACTGGCTTCCTTCTCCTCTACATGAGGACAACGGGGACAACAGTGCAGGACCTCACATTTATGTCTCAGATTAAGGTCTTCTGCAACAGACAATGAGGGGGTGAGTGAGGGAACCTTCGTGAGAGAAGCTGTTAGGAAATTGCCAAGCAGATACCTTAATAGAAAGCAAGAAGTTGCCATTAAAATCAAGTCCCAGCCCCAAAACCAATAAGGATAGGCTATCCATAACATCTGCATTCAGAGAGCTGCTGTTCGAATGTCTTTTTGCTAGCTTTCAAGTTTGAAAGCATAAACAGAGTGTAGAAATTCCGTGTTGGAGGATGAACCCAGAGTAAGTAATTTAAAGAACCCCCTGAGCCAAGACACAACGGCACGGCCAGTGTGTGGGAGATGCTGAGTAGGAGGAAAACGAAGTCACCTAAGTTCATGGGAAAGGAAGGAGCAATTGACCCAACAAAACACACACACACAGACACACACACACGTAGCTGTGATTACAACAACTAAGTTGTGTGGATTGATGCCATTTCTAACACTATTGAGGGCTGGATTATTACTATTAATTCTATGAATTGAAAATATAACTGCAGCTATGAATTATTGATAATTAAATATAAGATGCATGAGAAATAGTCATTCTTTGGTGAGCCCTGCCCATGCTCCCAAAAATAGGGGGAGCGGGTAGGGCCATAGGATAGTAAGCTCTTGTTTTGTTTGAAAAATATAACCTCCATGACAGAGGGAGCATGGCTTCCGGTCCACTTTATATCCTGATTCTGGAAAGAAGCCAGACCAGGAGAACTCCACAGGGTGGGAACAATGAGAGGCCTCACTTCTCTGCAAGCTTGGAATTAACCTTAGGGAAGTATGATCACCACCTGTTGCTTTGAGCATGGAAAGTCCCCACATGAAATGCCAAAGGATTGGTGGAGAAACTGCAGGACACCCAAGTAAATATGAATTTCGGATAAAGAAAAAATACCTTGTGTGTCATGGCCCAAATATTGCATGGAATGTATTTATACTAAAAAATAAAAAAAAATTAAAAAAAAGAGAGAGAGAGAAAGAAAAAAAAATCGGTTCCATGTAAGATGACAAAGTGTTGTAGATTGCAGGCTTTCGGATTTAAATTTCAGTTTCTTAACCTTGGGCAAGGTACAGATGCCCAAACTGCAGTTAAATAAACTAAGATTTACAGAAGTTATTCATGTCTATTTTATAACTGGTACAGTTATTGTAAATAATAAATTAGATAAAAATAGTGTGTGCTTAGCATAGTGCCTTATATAGCAGAAATGCTTTATGTAGGCTAAGAGTTGTGATTATATTATAAAAATGAGTTTATTGGATTAAAACCCCTTATTCAGAACTATTTCTTAAAACTTTATTTTTATGGTACTATACTACTTTAATATTTTTATATCCCTTTTTGCCTATATACTTCCAAACAGAATGTCCGATAGTGAGTTAAATTCAAAGTCTAATAGATTGAGAATGCCAGTTGAAGTCTTTGGTTTTGGGAAACAGAAGATATTAGTCATTCCAGCAGGTCAAAGTATATGGTGTAGAAAGGGTGGGATTGAGGTTAAGTCTGTTCCCACTGCATAGTTTTACATAATGTCTCCTGTCAGCCTGTGGTCCCATGGCAATTCCAACACCTCACCACCAGGCTTCCCATGCTCTACAGCTATAAGCAGACCTTCAACCAAAAACACTCTAGAGATTTAAAAACATGGTACCACCACTTTACTGGATTGGTTCAGGAGACCATGCTTATGAATACATACAGAGAAAGAGAACACTGTCACATTATTTGTGGGTGGGGTTCAATATGTGCATGGGAGGAAATTCTAAAAATACATTTACTTTATTGGAAGTGGATTTTTATGAATGGCCATTTTGCAATTCTCCTTTAAAGCAAAAAAAAAAACAAACAAAAAAAAAAAAAAAAACAAGGGCAAGCATGGAACTGTGTGAGGTGCTTGGCTGAAGGCCTTTCTAAGGTTCTCCCAAGCTCTTTGCTAACAGGGCTTATGTCCTCTTCATCCCTGTGTTCTCAGCCCAAGACATGAACTCTGGCATGCTGTGGTGGTCAGTGTGAGCCTGAGAACAAATATTATAAAATATGCACAGAATGAAAGAATGGAAAGTGCTGGGGCTGACCAAGAAGGAGGTCTTAAAAATAGGCTCAAGCCTTTCCTTGAAAAATAGGCCCAAGCATCCTCCAGAATGCAAAGAATTAAAAAAGAGGAGCACTCATGCGTAACTCTGTCCTAGCTGTGCGAAGCATTTTCCCGTCCTCTGCTTTTTACAAGCCATTTATTGCATCTGTTATTGGTGAGTTTATGGTGACCACAGTGATTATAGTAGGTGAGAGTAGGCAGAAGGGAGACTAGGTCATTTCAAAAGGATATTCATGTTCTAATATTCCACACTGAAGAAGGGAAAAATCTATTCATTTTCCCATACATGCAATAGCAAGTAAAATCAGTCAAAAGTCTTCTTGATCAAGATAGATATTCCAAAAACTGGAGGGTGTGCAAGGGTGGAGATGGGAACACCCCATGAGGAGCTAGTTTCAAAGTGTCCTTGGGAAGAGTGAGATTCTTTTCAGGCACGTTGGGTTAGAGGTTAACACTGAGTGGCTGGAAAGATGCCACTCAGAGACTCTGAGAAAGAAGGGGACGAGAACTTTGTCAAAGAGCAAAGTATCATAGATGGTGGTGAAGAAGGTCAGTAGTGCCGTTACTGGCTTTGACAGAAAAATGAGGCAAATAACTGACAATAAAGAGTTTTCCCCTGAGAGGGGAAAACAAGACTTTATCTCCAGATAAACCAAAAACTTGGTTTTGCTGCTGTCATGATTGTTGGGAGTTAACTCCCCTCCAAGAGAATTAGTGCCCCACAAGTCCTGTGTGTACCCTAGAGTGGACAAACTGACTTGCTGAAGAGAAGCACTATGGGCTAGACTAACTATAAGGGACTTCTCCCTTGACTCTTTCCGTCGTTGACACGTGATCCCGTACCCCAGCACATGAAAGGATCGTGGAATGTTTATTAAAAGACACTTTAGATCTCTTTCACTATCTGCTTTCTATCGTTCTTATTTTAGTACTTTACTTTGAAAAAGGTCCTCTAGGACTGCAATAAGATCTCCAGTCACTAGTCTGGGCCATCATTTTATGCTGCTGTTCTAACAATTCAAATAGGTCATTTGAACCCTCTACATACAATCATTATTTTATTCACTCTATTATTCATCCAACAAGCAGATATGGAACCTGACTGGGTGGAGAGTAATAAAATAGGTACCAGGAAGAATAGAAAGAAAGTAGAGTCTCATCCTTACCCTCAAGGGGTAAACAATCTGAGAGAGGAAAATATATACCTAGCACTATGTAAAGAGGATTGAGTTAATATTCTGTAAGAATGGCTACAAGCTAAGTACCATGGAGGTGAAGTGAAAAAAAATACTGCTAAACTAGACCACTAGGACGTAATAACCTATTTGTCAAATACCAAATAAAGCTTTTCAGAACTTATTTTAGAAGGACTGAAATATAGTGGTGGTCATAGCAATCATAACAACTTAGCTTAGAGCTAACACTCATTGAGTGCTTACCACGTGCCAAATATCGGTCTAAACACTTCCGGTGAGTTATTTCCTGTAACTTTTATGACTAAACAGTGAGACCAGTATGTTATTTTTACTTTTTAAGAGAGGTTTTTACTACAGGGTACATGTCTTCACTGGAGAGACAGAGAGACAGAAAGTGAGAAATCATGCCCCTCCGCCCCCCAGGGTGGGGATGCGGGGATGGCAACACCACAATTCCTTCTCCTCCATTCTCCTCTTGGGATTTTGGGCATGCACACACACGCGCCCAGCGTGAGTTTTAAGCTGCCAGGTCCATGCAGTTACATGGGAGTCCAGTAATATAACCACCATGGCATTTGCTGGTCCCAGGACTGGTATGTTATTAGCTCGTTTTAGAAATATGGAAACCAAGACACAGAGCCCTTGTCTAGGCTCTCTACCTGGTAAATGGCACAGGTAGGTAGGAGTTTATGATTCACTTCAACTGTACAGGAGTACCTAGAAAGAGATGATTAGACAAATATAAGTATCAGTAAGGATAGTTTTAGTCAATCTTGGTAATTTTATAATTGAAGAAATATAAAATGCTTTGAAAGCCCATTTATGTAGTACTTGCTAGAAAAGTAGCACTACTTGCATATAATATTAGGACTATGAAAGAGTTGAGATAACATCACTTCCTAGTCTAGTCTAATAACTTCTTTTGAAACTACTCATGTCCCATGATCCTACATATACTATCTTATTTAATACCTAATAGTGGACATTTTAGAGGTGAGAAAATTCGTTTTGACGATGGTGACCATCTTGCTCAAGTTTCCAAATTCTGTTCTCTTTTCCCAGTATACCAGTGAGTTTCCCTGATAAATAGCTTGTTTTGTTGTTGTTGTTGTTTCTTTTTAACTGGAGACTTGTATCCTATTTTGCCTTTATAATCAAATTCTAGTATGTGCCCTCCACATAATGTTATAGTCCACATTACAAGCTTCTGATTTAAATGAGAATTCAAACTCCACCACCTAAGGAGTACAGG